ATTTTAATGTTAAATAATTTATAAATATTTATATTCAATATTGTACAGTGCACACGGCAATAAAGGAACTGAATATTGTAACAAGATTACTGAGACTTGAAACGAGTATGGGACGAACATTGGTATCCCATGTTGAGTGACGGCACTGGCATTGATATAGTAGATTAGGCGAGAAACCTTCCAGCCTTCTGTGGCCGAGCGGTTTAAATGCGTGCGTTGAGAACTTCCGGTATGCGTTAGGGGGGCGGGGTGCGTGAGTTTCGATCCCACATGCGAGCGAAAAATCAAGAAAAAAATGTAACGATTAACAGAAAAATTGTCTTTCTAAAATTATTTTTTTAAAATTACTATTCAAATGATATTTATTGTTAGTAATATATTCTTATTTATATGAAAATAATATTATAATTATTACAAATAATAACTTATTGTCATTAAATGTATATATACACACATACATGAATTAAAATAATAACAATAATATTTATTATTATTATTAATAATTCATATATTCACATTATATTGAATAAACTTGAGAAACGAGTAAATTTGGGAACAGTGGAAGCAGTCTTGTTTCAGTCCTGCGTTAGGCGTCCGCAGCATTGATTGAGCATTGATGTCCAATGCTGAATCAAGGCTCGCGCTGCAGTCTGGAATCGGTGTTACATTAAAGCTTCGATCATTCCTGCTCTCGCTGATTCACTCATGCTCAATCAATGTTGACCAATGCTCGGCCAATCTTTATAAAGCCTGAACTCGGCGTCACTTCGCGCCTGGAAGAATCTAAGTCATGCGCGATTGTCGTAGCAACGCACAACTTCGTGAATACAAATATATATAAAGAGGGGAAAAACATATGTGCGTGCGTGTGAAAATGAAATGAAATATAGGTCCACTTGAAAGACGAAAGGTGTCTCGTAATGTACCGAAAAATCACATTCGATGATAAGACACTCGAATACACCACAATATGTTACGAAATGTCGTCTAGAGTCCTTTTTGGGGCAACAGCCAATGAGAAGAGGCGTTTATGCTTATGTTGATAAGTTAGTTATGTGTGAGAATGTAAGTGTCTAAATTTGCAGGATCGTACCTTCTCAAAATTGGAACCCATTTATGGCTCATTTCATTTAAAATGTAAAATCTATGTCTCTTGGTAAAAAAAAAAGTTTTTAGTTAGCAAATGAATATTGTTTGGTTTATTTGATTAATATCTAACATACTCCAATTTTTTACTAACTTATAGAAGAACTTTGAGGTGCTTTAAAACGAAATGACAGACTAAAAAGTAGACTAAATGTCCCCTACTGTCCCTGTCCTCGAGGCACTTGCACTACATTGCCTCTAATAATTATTATATACATTTTTTTGTATTAGATTTATACAAAAATTCTTTATAATTCTTTATAAACTTCATATAAAATTCAAGAATATCATTTTAAGAAATGATTAAAAACATGTTACTTATTTTCATATTTTATATTCTGCCAAAATGAATTCATTTTTGCACACTCACTACGAATAGGTTACGCGCTTACACTCACTGTTTTACCGATGCTACAATAATAAATGAATAACCTCAAAACATCAAAGCGATTAGAATGTTCTGGTCTCCATCCTACAAATTATATAGTGGAGCAGAAATTAAAATAATTGATTAACGGTTGTAACATAGTTGTCCACTGCTGTCCCGTCTGTAAAATGGTAAGTAAATACTTTGAATCTCTTATAACTCAATTATTAGCAAAAAGTTTCAATATTCCTTAAGAAATCTGACAGCTTCTGCGTTGCTGTCTAAATAACATACTTAAGTTGTGAATCAAGAAAAGAGCAAAATGTCCCCTACTGTCCCCGTGTATTAAATGTACCCTATAATAGCTTTATTCTTATTATGTAGGTAAGAGTTTTTAAATTCAACGTATAAAAAACAGGAACTTAGTTTTATATGATAAGAAGTTATTTATATGAATATAGTATAGATATTCTTAATATAATATTTGTTATTTTTTATATACTGTTTCTTTTTCAAATGTCCCCTACTGTCCCGAAGTACCGTAACCAATCTTCACTCATTTTTTGTATAAAAACAAAAAAAAGTTTGTTGTCCACGCAAGAGAATTAATATTTATTTATATAAACGCATATTAATATTTACACAAAAAAATAAAAAAGTTCATTTATTTAAAAAAATAAAGTTGAACGAAAACCAAACAATAGTGATCATATTCTGCCAAAAAACTGTCTGCCATTAAAAAAAATATTTACAATGTTATAACCACTATTCCTTTCGATTTTTTAGAACATTAAATAATATAGAAAACTTGATTACACATACAAAATCGAAAATTCACATTTTGGTAAATTTGATTGTTAAAGACTTTTATCAAACATAAATATCCTATGTAAACATAACCTCAAAATCAAACTAACATCCGGCCCTGATATTGTCCACGTGATTCAACTGTCAAACTGCTTGTTTCTGAGGTGGGGAAAACTTAAGGGGCTTGTATACCTCCTCCGTTCTAAGTATATCAGAAACGTCCAGCGTTTTGATTGGCTATGCTCATAGAGAATTTCCAAAAAATTTAATGTTTTGGAAATTCTCTATGAGCATAAACGCTGGACGTTTCTGAATATACTCAGAACGGAGGAGGTATACAAGCCCCTTTATGTACGGCAAAGAGTTAATAAACTTTTAATGTTGTCGTCCGCCATTTTGAATTTTGAAAATATGACTTTAGATTTGTAATCAGCGACCCCGAAAACCCCCGACTAACAAATTTGAAGCCAATATATAAAGTTTTAATATTGTCGTCCGACATATTGGAGCCACCATTATGAATTTTTAAAATCTGTCTGCAGATTCGTAATCAGCGACCCCAAAAACTTCCGAGTAACAAATTTGAAGCCAATACGATAAATTTTTAATATTGTTGTCCGCCATATTGGATCCGCCATTTTGAATTTTTAAAATTTGACTTTAGATTCATAATCAGCGACCCTGAAAACTCCCGAATAACTTTCAATTGATTTCATGAACTTTTGAAAATTGTATCCATCCTGTGTTGAATTTTGGAAAATTGTTTTTTTTCAGGTGCCATTTTGAATAAAAAAATACCAAAAATCTTAAAACACAAAACATATTTTCAAACTAAAACTATTAAGAACACGTTTTTTATACCTTAGATGATTTGGAAAAATCAATATTACAACTAAAATTGGATGTGAAAAAAAATTACTTTCCATAATCTTGTATTTTTTCAGTATTTTTGAAAAAATAATGGTTAAACGTCACTTTTTGGAAATTTTGACCATGACATTCGAAAGAGCGACCCCAAAAACGTATGGATGTGTCCTTGTAGAATTTTTAATAATTTTTTTCTTTTAATATTATGAGCTTGAAACAGAAGTTAAAAATCAGCAGATTTGGGCGTTAAAGGGTTAAAAAAAATTGATAGAGCTAATGCTGTGTTATTAGGCCAGAAATTTTTTTAATTTTTGACTGGAATTTTATAAGTATTGACCTGGAAACCATGGAAAAAGCCTGGGAATTTTATATTTCTCATTTTGTAGCAACCATGTAAAGGCAGACTAATTTCTTTACGAATATTTTTGTGACACTCGTTTCGATCTCGGGGTTTTCCCTTGTTGATTCATGAAGTTGGGGAATTTTTTTTCATATAAGGAAATAGTTTTGGAATTGCGGTTTGTTTTATTTAAATATAGTACATAATTATAAACTTTTTTTCGTGTTTTTAACTAAAATTCTTCTATAAATCCATTATTTTTAATAATTTTTGAAAAAGTTCAATGAGAATTTACAAATTCATTTGTTTACAATTCAATTTTACAAAATTTCAATTATTCGTAAATTCTTCAATTAAATATGTATTAGAAAATAAAATGTTCAAATGATTTCAAAAAAAAATCCACGAATGTTATTAAAATTTTTTAATACAATTTTTGAAAATAATTGAAATTTTGACGAGAATTTAAAAATAATTTTGAACATAATTAAATTTGTGCGATAAGAATTTACTTTTGAAAATAATTGAATTTCTGCAATCATTTGTAATTTCTGTAAAATTATCTAAATTATATCGTACAATTTACGAATTTTTCATCCTTTTTCAATTAAAATTAAGGACCTTTTTTCAAAAAACGTACTTTTACGAACTTCAAGCAAAGTTGCGGACTTTTACGGGATTTATACGGACCTAGTTCGAGCCCTGGTGGTATTATTTAAAAATTCATTGATTCAAAATTTCAAAAGGTGGAAGAAAATGTAGGGAGGAGAATTCAAGGTTTTTAAGTTTGTCAAAAATCAAAATGTTTGTGGTAATTCTAGGCATTTAATATTATTCCAATACTTTTCATAAAAAACTCCTATAATTCCCTAACTTCCTGACTAATTTAATTTTTTTTCCAAACTTCCTTGACTTGTGACAACTCTGATTATTGAAAAGTAATAAGACACTTAAGAGTTTAGTTTTTAATGATGAAAAATATGTGACTGCGTCTGAGAAAAGGGACCTTATGACCAAAAAAATTGTTTAACCCGGGACTAATTGCATTTTATTTTAAGGACCTTAAAGTGTAAAAAACTGTCTAAATCTGAAAATCGATTTTTTCGGCATAAGGTCCCTTTTCTCAGACGCGGTCACATATATGGAACATTTTTAGAAAATTGCGATTGTCTTCTGAAATAAAATCGACAAAGCGACCGTTTTTCATATTCATGTGGACGTACACATATAAATATTGAACTTGAACAGTAAATAATAATGATGAAAATTTATGAAGGAACTGAGAATAGTAGAATAAATTGACATTTTCTGCTAATTTAATTTTAATTAAATAAAAATATTGTTTCATGATTCAAAGATGGAAAAAATATTCAAGAATGTTTGTGATAATTGTAAACGTATTAAATAAATAAATAAACAAAAATGGGGACAAAATTACGATAACTTTAAGAAAAGTAAAGTGAAAAATCGTACTTGGTTACTATTGATACTATAAGATTCACAGCTAACGATGACAGTTCTATTGAATCTATAAGATGATATTTTGTGATGCCTTGAATAGTTTCATCTATTAATCCATTTGTATAAAATGCATTTTTTCCGACAATTATTAACAGACATTCGAGAAAATCCCTGAAAAATTTGAAGAATTCTAGATAAAATTAGTAAGTAATTATATTTAATTAGGAAAATTAAAAATTATTTGGAAACATTTAAATAGAAAATAGTGAAATATTTTTATACCTGCTGGATAAGAGGTTTACGTTTTGTAACAAATCGCTAATAATTCCATTGTAAACTAATTGAGTAACTAATTCTTCACTGTTATTTTCACGTAAAACCTCTAATAAATAGAAAATTATTTGTGCCTGAAAAATATAAATTTAAGAATCAATTTTCAAAATTAGAACATAAAGTATTAAAAAAACTTTGGTGTACTGAAATATCAATTTCACTGACTCACATTAAATGTAAATAATAAAGAAATGTTAATGAAATGAGAAATTAGATTTATGGAAAAAATTAAATACATAAATAAAAAGTCAAATAAGAGTTACTTGAAATTTCCTTCTTAAAAATAATGATCTTCATATTATCTATTAAACAACTTACATATTACTTTCATTTAATGCAAATAGCAATCTTTTCACTATTTTACATAATCTTTAAATAAAAGCAAAAAACACATTTTTTTTTTTATGTTGTTACTTACACGTGTCTGCGATTTGTTTGTACTCAGTTGTATTTTCAGAATATCAACCACTTTATTAATTTCATTCATTTTCAATTCAAATTTAATGCAAATCAATGTTAATGCCTTGTACTTTTAATTTCTAAATTTACAATTCGATTGAGTTATACATTAATCAAATAGCAAAGAAAAAACTACGGTCTTCACTTTTTTTCAGATAATATTTCTTAAGGGGCTTGTATACCTCCTCCGTTCTGAGTATATTCAGAAACGTCCAGCGTTTTGATTGGCTATGCTCATAGAGAAATTCCAAAACATTAAATTTTTTGGAAATTCTCTATGAGCATAGCCAATCAAAACGCTGGACGTTTCTGATATACTTAGGCTGCGGTTACACCTCTGCAGGCTGCCTGCCTGCGCAGGCAGGAGCAACGAGAGTAAGGGAGAAGTTTGAAGTCACTGACTCTCTTACTCTTGTACGTTACCATGACAACCTGCAGGCAGGCAGGCTGCCTGCAGAGGTGTAACCGCAGCCTTAGAACGGAGGAGGTATACGAGCCCCTTCAGACCAAAACAAAATGTGAATGTGACTCAAGTATCCATATGTATTCGAGACGCATGCATATCCCCTAATCGCCAAGTCGTCGAATGATCAAATAGTCGAATGCCAAGTAATCGAATGGACAAAACGTCGAATGCTAAAAACATCGAATTGTCAATACGTCGAATGTTCAAAACGTCGAATTATCAATTTGTCGAATGTTAAAAACATCGAATCGTCAATACGACGAATTCTCAATTCGTCGAATGTTCAAAACGTCGAATGTTCAAAACGTCGAATGATAAAAATGTCAAATGCTAAAAACATCGAATCGTCATTTAGTCGAATGCTAAAAACATCGAATCTTCATTTAATCGAATGCTAAAAACATCGAATTCTCAATTCGTCGAATGTTTAAAACGTCGAATGCTCAAAACGTCGAATCGTCATTTAGTCGAATGGTAAAACCATCGAATAGTCCATTCGTCGAATGCTCAAATACTCGAAACGCCATCTGTTCGAATTATCAAGTAGTAGAATGGTAAATTTGTCAAATGTTCAAAACATCGAATCGTCATTTAGTCGAATGCTAAAAACATCGAATCGTCAACATGTCGAATGTTCAAAACGTCGAATTATCAATTTGTCGAATGCTCAAAACATCGAATTGTTAATTAATCGAATGCTTAAATCATCGAATTTTCCATTCGTCGAATGTTCAAAACGTCGAATGATCAAAACGTCGAATGCTAAAAAGATCGAATTCTCAAATCGTCGAATGCTCAAATAGTCGAAACGCCATCTGTTCGAAATGTCAAGTAGTAGAATGGTAAAGTAGTCGAAACGCCATCTGTTCGAATTGCCAAGTAGTAGAATGGTAAAGTAGTCGAATGTTCAAAACGTCGAATGATAAAAATGTCGAATGCTCAGAACATCGAACTGTTAATTCATCGAATGCTCAAAACGTCGAATGATAAAAACGTCGAATGCTAAAAACATCGAATCGTCAAAAGTTCGAAAAAGTTCTTTGTCTTCAGTAGACATTAACTTAAAACAAAGAACTTTTTCGAACTTTTGACGATTCGATGTTTTTAGCATTCGACGTTTTTATCATTCGACGTTTTGAGCATTCGACGAATTAACAGTTCGATGTTCTGAGCATTCGACGTTTTGAACATTCGACTACTTTACCATTCTACTACTTGGCAATTCGAACAGATGGCGTTTCGACTACTTTACCATTCTACTACTTGACATTTCGAACAGATGGCGTTTCGACTATTTGAGCATTCGACGATTTGAGAATTCGATGTTTTTAGCATTCTACGTTTTGATCATTCGACGTTTTGAACATTCGACGAATGGAAAATTCGATGATTTAAGCATTCGATGAATTAACAATTCGATGTTTTTAGCATTCAAAGAATTGACGATTCGATGTTTTTATCATTCGACTAAATGACACAATAGCACAATAGGTTCGCGAACGCAAAGCATGAGTTAGAAAAGGACAGAGATATATTTGTGTCCTTGTCTATCTCATGTGTCTCGTTCGCGAACGACTCTCGCGAACCTATTGTGCGTTGGACTTTACTATTACGTTCCGTTCAAGGTGCTATTGTGAACTCAACCTGAAAGCGAGACGCATGCATATCCCCTAATCGCCAAGTCGTCGAATGATCAAATAGTCGAATGCCAAGTAATCGAATGGACAAAACGTCGAATGCTAAAAACATCGAATCGGCATTTAGTCGAATGCTTAAAACATCGAATTGTCAATACGTCGAATGTTCAAAACGTCGAATTATCAATTCGTCAAATGTTAAAAATATCGAATCGTCAATATGACGAATGTTCAAAACGTCGAATTATCAATTCGTCGAATGCTAAAAACATCGAATCGTCATGTAGTCGAATGCTAAAAATATCGAATCTTCAGTTAATCGAATGCTAAAAACATCGAATTCTCAATTCCTCGAATGTTCAAAACGTCGAATGTTTAAAACGTCGAATGCTAAAAACGTCGAATGCTCAAAACGTCGAATCGTCATTTAGTCGAATGGTAAAACCATCGAATAGTCCATTCGTCGAATGATTAAATAGTTGAAACGCCATCTGTTTGAAATGTCAAGTAGTAGAATGGTAAAGTAGTCGAAACGCCATCTGTTCGAATTGCCAAGTAGTAGAATGGTAAAGTAGTCGAATGATAAAAACGTCGAATGCTCAGAACATCGAACTGTTAATTCGTCGAATGCTCAAAACGTCGAATGATAAATACGTCGAATGCTAAAAACATTGAATCGTCAAAAGTTCGAAAAAGTTCTTTGTTTTAAGTTAATGTCTACTGAAGACAAAGAACTTTTTCGAACTTTTGACGATTCGATGTTTTTAGCATTCGACGTTTTTATCATTCGACGTTTTGATCATTCGACTACTTTACCATTCTACTACTTGGCAATTCGAACAGATGGCGTTTCGACTACTTTACCATTCTACTACTTGACATTTCGAACAGATGGCGTTTCGACTATTTAAGCATTCGACGAATGGACTATTCGATGGTTTTACCATTCGACTAAATGACGATTCGACGTTTTGAGCATTCGACGTTTTGAACATTCGACGTTTTTAGCATTCGACGTTTTAAACATTCGACGTTTTGAACATTCGACGAATTGAGAATTCGATGTTTTTAGCATTCGATTAACTGAAGATTCGATATTTTTAGCATTCGACTACATGACGATTCGATGTTTTTATCATTCGACATTTTGAACAATCGACGTATTGACAATTCGATGTTTTTAACATTCGAAAAATTGATAATTCGACGTTTTGAACATTCGTCGTATTGACGATTCGATATTTTTAACATTCGACTAATTGATATAAATCGACGAATTGATAATTCGACGTATTGACAATTCGATGTTTTTAGCATTCGACTAAATACCGATTCGATGTTTTTAGCATTCGACGTTTTGTCCATTCGATTACTTGGCATTCGACTATTTGATCTTTCTACGACTGGGCGATTAGGGGATATGCATGCGTCTCTCGTAAATACCCCCTCGGTTAAATGACAATTCGAAAGCATTGAATTTCGTTCAATTTACAATTCATTTCAACAGAAATTAGTCTAAATTGCACCCTATTACGCTTTTCATTTTGGGGAACGCATCCCCTCACATGGGATCCCACCCTAACTTCCAAACCCTGGTCGACACCAACCAAAGGCCAACGCAAAATAGATCTGTAATGGAGAGTCCACAATATGTGCAAATATGTAGGTAGCAAGTCCAAGTGCAAGTGCGATTCCTATAACATTTAGCACACTGTAAAAAAATCTGCTGTAAATTTACTATGTCCGACGTTGGAAAGTTTGGTCACTATGTCCGACGTGGTATTTTTACACGCCGACTGTAATCTACATAACCTGCAAATATTTTTTGAAATAATATTTTCAGTCGTAACTTTTTGTATTTATGAAATATAGCCCAAAACTTTTTGTTATATTATTATTTACTTATAAATTAGCATATACTTTCTATAAATGTACATTATATACACTTTTTTAGAGTTATTTATAAAAACTTGAAAATTTTTTGAAAATCTTAAAGGAATAAGAAAATTACATTCGCCATGTAATTGTACAGATCGTGCGACGTCGGACATAGTGATCAAATTTTCCTACGTCGGACGTAGTAAATTTACACAAAACTATTAAATTACATAGTCGTATAATGTAAAATTATTAAAAATAGTAAAACTACTTTTGTAACGAAATAAATTTACTACGTACAACCTATAATTTTGATGTGTGAAATTACAAGTTTCGTGTTATTTTACACCAGATTTTTTTACAGTGCATTGGTTCGCACTTGCACTTCTTGCCTTTTGCACCTATAGTGGACTCTGCATAACCGGAACCGCAATCGTAAGCGTAACCGTAAGAATGAGTTAAAGAAGGATATTGTTTATCCTTCTCTAACTCATTCTTACGCTTACGGTCACGATTGCGGTTCAGGTTACAGATCTATTCTGCGTTGGCCTCAACCAAAGAAAAGAAAGTTGTAGAAGCAGCTTTAATACTGTCCTTCCGGTTGATCTGCGCATAGAAACTGAATAGAGAAACCATGCGCATAACCTAACCGGAAGAATAGCATTAATCATCTGTGTTCTGAGTGTATAAAGAAAACGAGAGACGACCGAGCTTGGCTTTTGTTTTGTTCAGAAGAAATTTGATATGCTCATAAAATTAACGAAATAATATCTTAAAAATGAAAGAATTTAGAGAAACAATTAATTTTATTAAACGTCAGTTTGATAGTGATTCAAGTGTAAGTATAATAACAATACTTATGAGGTTCTTTGAAACTCTCTCTGATGAAAATGGAAGTAGTAAAGCAAAGAATTTTCCTTAAAGAACCTCTGTCATCCTTAAGAATTATTCGAATTATTTAAAGTGCCAGAATAGACAATAAATAAAGTTTTGTTGGTGACGTTACAAAAAACAAGAATTAAATTGATTGTTGTTGATTACAAGAATACTTTATGTGATTGCAATATATGACTAAATTTAAAATTATTATTTACTAGCGACATATTACTCGCTCGCTAACGTTCGTTATTTTAGAGAAAATTCCTTAGCCAAATGAATTGCAAACAGTTTTAGGTTATGTAAATAGAATATCAACGAGTGATAAATTCAACTATATATTAGTTTTATATTGTGCTTGTAATGCTGGAAAATTGTTTTTTTTAAAGTTTTTGTGTTTATTCTTGAAAACCAATTGTCGAAAGCGAAAATAATACTGTATTTTCAGGGTATCTAAATGAAGCTGAAACTGGCAACCAGTTATCAGCATCCGCTTTTCGAAATTAAATTTTAAAGTTACCCCGGTAATTTGTTTTTACTGGGAAAACCCTGGGAATTTTTTATTAATTACTTTATTACGTTACTGGAAAAAATAGTTAAATTTTTTTCAACGCTTAATGTAAATTTTTTTTTCAATACATATTGTTTCTAGGGCTTGAACTAGGTCCGTAAATTCCGTAAAAGTCCGCAACTTTACATGAAGTCCGTAAAACTCCGTTTCTTTTTTAAAAAAGGTCCGTAAAAGTCCGTAATTTGATTTAAAAAGGATGAAAAGTTTGTAAATTGTACGATATAATTTGGATAATTACAGAAAAATTACAAATGATTGCAGAAATTCAATTATTTTCGAAAGTATAATAAAATTCTTCGCAAAAATTCAATTATGTTCAACAATTTTTTTAAATTCTCATAAAAATTTCAATTATCTTTAGAAATAATAAAATTCTTCTCTGAAATTCAATTATTTTCAATATCTACTATTTTCAAGAAATAATAAAAATTTCACAGGATTTTCATTTTTTATAAATTTCTTATCAATCATTTAATTATTTTCATACACTACCGTCGGGAATTATCGGTACGGCTGCACGCGCACGGCCCAAAACCATACCAATCTTTAAATCACGTTTTTTTTGTAAATACAAATGTCAGAAAATTAACAAATATACCATTCGAAAGATAAATAAATTCTACTATTAATAATACATAACTGAAAATTTTAGTAATTTATACAAAGATTTCAGCAATCGACAAAGGCCGTAGGAGTATAAGCATGTAAAAAGTGCCCCCTCTTGGATTGGGTCCATATTTAGGGAATAATTTTGACCTATTATGAGACTTATTTTCACCAAGTTTCAACTCGAAAAAAAATTTTGTTTTTGAGTTATACAATTTTTTTGAAAAATTCAAAAAAATTCAAAAATTTTTTTTCCCTCCAAAATGGTTGAACCGATTTTCATGAAAAAAATTTTTTTGTACAATACAATATGAACAGTTAATAAAAAAAAATTTTCGACCAAATTCTAACAAAAAAAGTCAGTAAAAAAATTTTTTTTTTTTATTTTTTTTTTAAAAACATTTTTTTTTATTGAAATTTTTTTTGCACCACCGCCATTTTTTTTCTATAAAATAAGATGATTGAAAGGGTACTTCATACTTTAAAAAATAAAAAACCGATTTTTGGCCCCTAAATAGTACAGTTTTCTATATAAACGAGGGGCCAACATTTTTTAAAATTACATTAAAAATTAATTAATACTTAAATTAAATTTCTAAAAAAGTTAATAATATATGCCTGTTTATTGTAAATATTGATTTTTTAGTATGTACAAGGTTAATTAAAAAAGTAAATGGACGTACACTACCGTCGGGAATTACCGGTACGGCTGCACGCGCACGGCCCAAAAACATGTCAATCACTGAGAAAACGATTTATTTGATTCAAAAAAATTTTGTTTAAATCAAACTTAAAATATCTTTGCTATACAGTCAAACAAATTTCAGTTTAATTCAAACATATTTTTTGGTTCATTTATAGAAATAATATATTCAATTCAAACAAAATTTATGGTTGATTTTAAATTATTTCTAATCAACATTTAAGTTTGGATCAAACATAACATTTTTAAACATATTCTTTGTTTAAACCAAAACAGAAAATATATTTTTGAATTAAAAACAATTATTCAAACAAATATTATTTTTGAATCAAAGCAGTAGATATTTTCTATATATATTGGGATCTCACAAACCGATTTTTTCGAGTTGAAACTTGGTGAAAATAAGTCTCATAATAGGTCAAAATTATTCCCTAAATATGGTAGGCCAGTCGGTGAGTGCAAAAAGTGCACAAAAGTGCAACTTGAAAAGTCTCAATAGTTTCTTGTAGTTTGGGGGCCCCATATAAGAGCCCCATGGTTTGCTCTCGATTTCCGGTTGCAAAAAATAGTGTAAACAATCGTCAAAGTTCGAGAAACGTAGTTTTTCGATGACCCTTGCTTCCGGTTAAATTTTAGAGGAAAAAGTTGTTATTGAAAGTTGTAGAGCCTAAAAATACCTTTCAAATGATTGGTCATACGTTGAAAAAGGTTAATTAGTTTAGTTGCAAATGAATTTAAACCATTAAAAATAGCACTTTTTTAATTGTTTAATAACTTTGTTAATAATTATTGAATTTGTTTACAACTCACCAGGAATATTCTCCTTGCGAAGCTGAATAAATTAAAAAAAAAGTCAACTCGATCGGACAAATAGTTTATGTTTTATTCCATTTGTTAACTAAAAACATGAAATTTTTCAACAGAATTACCCCACTTTTGGACCTGCGAATTTCGTTTTTTCTTCTTCAAGAGTACAGTTTAGGAGTCAAACTTTGATTCCATTTAAATGGGAAATTGATTTTTCTTATCTAAGTGCATAATAATAGACGTTAAAAAAGGGTATGTTTTTTTGACATAAACAAATGGAATAACTCATTCGTTTTCACAAAACTTTTCCAAAAAAAAATCCGACCTAGCTTCAAGGAGGGGGGAGTTAGTTTTTTTTTCAAAAAATTCCTGACTAGTTAATTATCAATATTTTTAATTGCAATTCATACCACTTATAGTCCAATGTATGTATTTTATAAAAAAAAATTGGACATAAGGTTTTGTGCATTTATTTTTAATTTATATCAAGTAAAAGTAAATGTATCCTTTTTTCAACCTCTGAACGTCGGAGTGGGGGTACTCGAAGGAGCGTGATTCTCGCCGCCACAACTCAATTCAGCCTTTCAGATTTGCAAAAATGGTCATAACTTCGTTAATTATTTACCGATTTTAATGATTCTTTTTTTAATTTGATGTATTGTTTTACGCTGAATCCAAAAATGATTTTATATTTTTTTAAAATACAATATTTTTAATAATAAAAACAAAAATTTTTTTAACAAAAAATTTTTAATTATTATTTATAACTCTTGACAAAAAATTCTTTTCGTACATATAATTCCATTGAATTCAAAAAAATATTATAACAACAAAAAATTAAAATTAATTATATATAAGCTTGTAGCATTAGGTTGACATATGCACGCCTGTTCAACTATCAATACAACGATGCTACACACTTATATAAAAATAATTTGAATTTTTTTATGTCATAATATTATTTTGAATTCAATGGAATTATATGTACGAAAAGAATTTTTTGTCAAGAGTTATAAATAATAATTAAAAATTTTTTGTTAAAAAAATTTTTGTTTTTATTATTAAAAATATTGTATTTTAAAAAAATATAAAATCATTTTTGGATTCAGCGTAAAACAATACATCAAATTAAAAAAAGAATCATTAAAATCGGTAAATAATTAACGAAGTTATGACCATTTTTGCAAATCTGAAAGGCTGAATTGAGTTGTGGCGGCGAGAATCACGCTCCTTCGAGTACCCCCACTCCGACGTTCAGAGGTTGAAAAAAGGATACATTTACTTTTACTTGATATAAATTAAAAATAAATGCACAAAACCTTATGTCCAATTTTTTTTTATAAAATACATACATTGGACTATAAGTGGTATGAATTGCAATTAAAAATATTGATAATTAACTAGTCAGGAATTTTTTGAAAAAAAAACTAACTCCCCCCTCCTTGAAGCTAGGTCGGATTTTTTTTTGGAAAAGTTTTGTGAAAACGAATGAGTTATTCCATTTGTTTATGTCAAAAAAACATACCCTTTTTTAACGTCTATTATTATGCACTTAGATAAGAAAAATCAATTTCCCATTTAAATGGAATCAAAGTTTGACTCCTAAACTGTACTCTTGAAGAAGAAAAAACGAAATTCGCAGGTCCAAAAGTGGGGTAATTCTGTTGAAAAATTTCATGTTTTTAGTTAACAAATGGAATAAAACATAAACTATTTGTCCGATCGAGTTGACTTTTTTTTTAATTTATTCAGCTTCGCAAGGAGAATATTCCTGGTGAGTTGTAAACAAATTCAATAATTATTAACAAAGTTATTAAACAATTAAAAAAGTGCTATTTTTAATGGTTTAAATTCATTTGCAACTAAACTAATTAACCTTTTTCAACGTATGACCAATCATTTGAAAGGTATTTTTAGGCTCTACAACTTTCAATAACAACTTTTTCCTCTAAAATTTAACCGGAAGCAAGGGTCATCGAAAAACTACGTTTCTCGAACTTTGACGATTGTTTACACTATTTTTTGCAACCGGAAATCGAGAGCAAACCATGGGGCTCTTATATGGGGCCCCCAAACTACAAGAAACTATTGAGACTTTTCAAGTTGCACTTTTGTGCACTTTTTGCACTCACCGACTGGCCTATGGACCCAATCCAAGAGGGGGCACTTTTTAGATGCTTATACTGCTACGGCCTTTGACAAAAAATTTTAAAATCACACCTATATGTGACTGTCCACGAGAAAACAAGGCTTCCCAGGCGCGAAAGACCAGTGC